TATATATATATATATATAATGTATATTTTTTTATATATATATATATATATATACATATATACATACATATATATATATATATATATATGGTTCAGGATCTTTAAAGCTATGCATCGATGAATTTGCTCTTCAGTCTTTGGACTCTCCATAATGATTTCAAACCACACTGAACTAAGCTGAACTGAACTAAATTTAAACACTAAAAACTGCACCACCCTGATCCAGTTACTATGACCATTTATGTGAAGCTGTAAAAGCGCTATACAAATAAAGCTGAATTGAATTGAATATATACCTTTATATGCCCGTTTCAAGACAGTAGACAAACTAGGAATGCATGAATTAAGTTTTATGTATTTCTAAAATAGTCATGTTTGGTGTCATACTTCTCCGTATACAATTCTACAACTCATGATCTAGGACACAGGATTATAACTTGTATGCTTTGTATTGTTTCAAACCATGAGTTGAAGTTGTAATACATTAGTCCCATTGATGGCTGTAAGTTTGACCCATTGGTTAAATTACTTCAAAATAAAACACAAGAATAATAGTTTTAACCTTAAACCGTTGTCAGAAAGACACTAAAACAATAAAAATGTATAACACTCGGATTTATTAATATTATAAACATATAAAAAGCACAAGATGACCACATTGAATTACCACCATTTTGCATTCATAATTGCAGATCTGAAATCAATGTATTTTAAATGAGTTTGCATGCATTGGTATAAGAAACATTGACATTCTTTTGAAGTACTTTTAAATGTATATATTATATTATTTAATACACATTGTGAAGAGTAGAGATTGTAAATGTGGCTAAATTGAGGAGCACAAGCTCACAAACAAGTCCTGACCAATTAACCAAAAGAAACATCTTATTTGTCAGTTTATGTGTACTTATCCAAACTGTGAATAGCTTGCTGTTTTAAATACATTTTCCATCCGTTTGGGATGTTACCAGAACCTTCAAATGTTTTTTTATAGTGTTTTTCCAAAAATTTTTGGAATCTGCACACAAACCACTTCCAGTAGGGCAGTTCAGAGAAATCAGGAGTGATGCTCCAGTCTGCATAATCTCCTCCTGCTGTCCTGTATTCTTTCCAAGCAACTCTCCTATCTGATGAATCAGGATAAAAATGTGTATCACTGGCTACTGATGATGTGCAGATGTTAATAGCTAGGTTTGTTGTTCCTCTGTAAAACCATCCATTCAGTCCAATATTACGATGGAAAGTAACACTGTGATCTCCATCATGGTTCTCTATGGTGTTTGTGCAGATTACTCCACAGAACGGACACTGAACCCAACAGCACTGACAGATGTGATCAATCAGAAGCTCATCTGGCCTGAACTTATAGTCCAGCTTTACTGGAAATGTGTCTGTGTTGAATCTGCTGCTGATGTCTGACATTACAGCAGTAAGCTCTTGTCTGATCACATCTTCTAGGAGTCTGAAATCATCAACATCATCATGTTTGACTCCACTGAGGTCTTTTTCAGAGAAGATCAGCTGATCTGAGAGCTGCTGTGTGAAACTCTTCAACCACAAACCAACATCTCCACTGTTGACTTGAACATGTTCAGTAGATTGATGTGCTGCGTTCATGATCTTCTGCTGCAGGAGTTTAATGTTCTCCTTCATCTTGGGTAAAACACTGATGCTGAACCTATTTCTGATGTAGCGACTGACTTCATCTCTGATGAAACTCTTGAAGTGATCTTTTGGAGCTTTTATGTAGTTCATGTATTTGTCAAAGTCCTCCTCTTCTGCCAGTGTCTTCAGGATGTGTTTCTCCAGCTTTGATCTATTCCCATTCAGCGATTTGCAATTTGATCTCATTTCATCTGCTAAATCTCTGGCAGTTTTCTTGTAGATGCTCTGCTCAATGGGCTGTTTCAGTTTCTGACAGATGATCTCAGCAAAAATAGCCGCTGATGCAGCTCCATGACAGTGTTTCTGGAAAATACTGTAGTATTCTTCTCGTTTATTTCCTAAGTGTATTTCTGGATCATTGTTTTCTCTGAAGAGGCTGTGTTGTTCAGTGATTTTCCTGTTTGCTCTTTTACAGATGGAATAAACCAAATCCATGATGAATTCATCCTTGAACACATATTTTACTGCTCCTTTCTCATATTCTACTACACTTGTCTTGATGTAACCTGTGAGTAGTTGAATGCAGCTGATGTTGTATCCCATCTTTGAAATGTTAAATGACTGAATCATTGTGTCTGTTTTTTCAGCAACTTTAGTAATAAATGATCTGATTTGGGCTTCCTCAACAGGACTCAAAGTGTCAGCAAATCCCAATGCTCTTTTAACTCTTCTGCAAGCTTCCTGTAGAGTGTCTCCAGTTCTACTCTTTCTGAAATTAACATAATAAGAAAAACTTGGCTCAGAAAAAATATTGTTATAACTACTGTCCTCATTTCTGAGGCCTTCAAGGAAACGGTTATGATACATATCGGTGAGGATCTTTCTCACATCTCTTAATATGTAAATGTCTTTGACTGGCAGAGTCTCTTTGGTGATGTTTTTCACAGTCTGTTCCCAAAACAAATCAAACTCTTTTTTTTGAGTTTCTTTATCATTTATTTTTTCTTTGACTTTTAAAGCTAGTTCTTTGCTCTTTTCACATAGAGTGTTTTCATGATGTGTCCTCTGAGCATCGATCTTTTTCTTCATGTCTTGATGATGAAGAACCTCATTTAATTTGTTTTTTGTTTCCCTCACAATGCTTTCCTGAAGCTCTTTGATTTTGATTTCAAATGATGTTTTCCACTGAATCAGTATATCTGCATATTTTTCTGTCTCAAAGAATTCAGACATTGATTTTTGCACTTTTTCACTTGTCTCCTTCAGTTCTCTGTGAAGATCAGTTTCATCGACCTCATGAACTGCTTCATTTTCTATTTTGTTTAGAAGTTTGTTCGTAGTTTCCATCATGGCTCTGCGGAGACTCCAGGACCAGTTGCTATATTCGGTTTCCAGATTCCTGTAGACTGTAATTTCCAGAGAATTCCTGAAGCTGAAGACAAACTGTTCATTCAGTAAAGCTTTCCAGAGATCTTCAATATGTTTATTTAGGTCTTTTAGCATTACTCTATGTGATTTTAAGGCTTGAGACATAATACTTTTTTTCAGTTCATGTATACCATCACAGTACATTGGGTTTGGTGGAGCCATTGGTGGACTGCCGTCCCAGAACTGAGCAAAATACTTCACATCATTCTGAACATCAAATCTAATGACATCATTGAAACACTCTGCATCTGAGTCTTCTTCCTCAGCAGCAAGTTTTGTCATCTCATCCAGTTTTTTCAGCAGTCGTCTCCTTCCCTCCAAGTTTAACTCTCCAGCTGTGACGTCTGAAACGTTCTGATGCACAAACACACAACTGGGATTCAGTCTGACCTTCTTCATCCTCATGAAGGCCTGAACAATAATCTGAAGAATGTCCTGCATCTCAGATAGGTTTTCGCCAAAGATGTTGATCAGTGTTAGATTGCCAATACCAACAACAAATGTGGCCAATTCGTTGTCATGATCTCTTGTTGATCTTCCAGCCAGTTCTAGAGCACGAAGACCCTCAGTATCAACAACCAGAATATAGTCACAGTTCATCTGTGTTTTCATCTCCTCAGACACTTTGACCAGCTGCATGAAAGCTCCTCTGGTGCACCTGCCAGCACTGACGGCAAACTGGAGTCCAAACATGGCGTTCAGCATGGTGGATTTCCCAGAGCTCTGAATTCCTAAAACTGACAGCACAAAGACTCTGGTCTGGTCTCCCAGCTTCTGGACGAGTTGATCAAAAACAGCAGAGATCCAGACCAGAGGAACATGAGCAGCATCTCCATCCATCAGCTCCAGTGGAAACCCAGAGATCATCATCTCTGCTGCGAGACTCGGGAGAAAAGAGAAGTGAACCGGCAGATCTTTCTTGTTCTCCATCACAGATGAACATGATTCATAGATCTGACCGATCTCCCTCATGATGTGCTCCAGACCAAAGGTTGCAGCTTGAAGATCCTCAGATATTCTCTCAAGTTCAGCTTGTTCAGATTTGTAATCACTCTTTTTCAGTTTTACAACTGCTGACCATTTTTTGTTATACTGAAATTGTAGAGCAGAAAGGTCAGCTGATGTATACTCATCCATGAAGATTCCAAGCCATTTGAAAAAAAACATATTTGCTTGTTCATCTGCTAAGTTCATTTCTTTAATGAAAATCTTCATAAACTCACTGATATTAGATTTGTGTTGCTTTGCACGTATTTCCTTTAACTCTGTTTGTTTTCTACTGATTTCCATTTCTATCTCATCTCCTTGAGGTCGATGTAGTTCCTTGTTCTTCTGACTCCACTGATGCCACAGTTTTCCCTGATGAGGCAGAAATGATTCTTTGATTTCTGTCAGTTTTTTCTCCTCCAGTAAACTGATCATCTGCTGTGCTGCTGCTCTTCCTCTCCTGCAGTCTTCATCATCTTCCTCATCTACTCTGATGTCTGAGTGTTTGGACACATCTTCAAGTCTGAAAGTGGGAGATGGTTCTGAGAGACAATCATTTATAGCTCTTCTGATGTCTCTAGAGACATCTGACTGATTTCTGTCTTTCAGACCAATCTTGTATTTCCCTTTCTTCATCTCTAATAGACTACAAGTATCTTCATTAAATAGACAAATGAGTGGCTTTGTGGTCTTTAACAATTTTTGAATTTTTTCTGCGTTTATGTCATTCTTGTCCAGTTGTGGAAGAAGAAGCACATTGACTGTGGCCATCTCAGTGAGGATCCTCCACTGTTTCTCGTGGTCTCCTGCATCTCCATGTAGATTACAGAAGGCCACACAGTCACTGAATTTATCATCATCTGATCCAGAAGGGCAGAACCAGGCGATCTCCACCACTCCATCCATCAGGACTCTGGATCTGCTGCTGCCTGGGCAGTTCCTGTGGAAGAACGTGTTGTGTCTGTCATTGATCAGACTGCTCATCAGCTGAGACTTGGATGAAGACACAGAGCCAAATCTAAAGAAAAACACCATTGGAGTTTGTGCCTTGTAGATGGGCTGGGTTTGACTGATGTTGGTGTTTCTGTTCTTCCAGCTCTTGCTGATTTGTCTGAATGTCCAGAGAGGAAACTCAATCTGTTGAGTTACTGGATCAGGAACAAGCAGAGGCAGAGCGAACTGACACTGGGACAGTTTAGTTACAATAATCTGCCTTAGACAACCATCAGCACAATGAAACACAGCCATTTGAACATCCATTGGGTGAATTTGCTCAGACTGACTTGTTCCAATGTTTAGTTTAGCCATTTCTTCAAAAAGATCAACATCATTTTCCTGGTCTTTTCTTTGTATTGGATCTTCCTTGTTGGTTTCATTGTATCTTGCTTTGTAGTTCATCATCAGTAGTTTTTGAATGAAAGCCTGAACAGCATCCTTTTCAACACAACATTGATAGGACTGTAATGAATGTTCACTTATTTGAAGAAAGTTTGCAGGTCTCAGTTTGTAGGCCCTGCCTTTAAGTTCAAGTCTTTCTAAGAGACGTTTCATTTTGTGATTTATTTTCTGTTATGAGTTGATCTTAACTTAATATTGTTTCAGAGTGTGTCTGTTGAAAGAAAGAAAAAGAAAAACATTTAATTTATTTTCATTAAATAACTAAATAATATAGTCACTCAAATTTGAATGTTTGTAATTAAATTAATTTGAATATTCCAGAGTACTGCTGCAGAACTTGTTGCTGACCTGGTCCAATTTTTCATGGATACCTATAGTTTTGATCATGTCAGTGGTTAGTAACGTGTAACAAAACTGGCCCACCATAAACAATATCTGACACATACCTGGAGGCTAAAAACAGATCTAAAAAAATCTTTAAAAATAGATCTGTCATGAAGCAACAGTTGAAAAGCCTTGAGTAAAGGCTTCACATCTGTGTTTGAAATGTGTAAGAAAAATGCTTAAAGTGGAGTTTTCCATCTGGTACCAATGCTGATGTGATAACATAGGAGCATTTATTGGAGACATGTTGGGAGTTTTTTGTTTGTTTTTTCATTGTAAGTTTGTGACATCGATATCCATATATACACCGATAGCTGTCATTTTTTCCACATACTGAAAATTATAATTCAGATAGCTATTGTTTCAAACAAGGTTTAAAATTAAAACCTTATTGAGACATTTACTAAAAGGCCGAAAACTAATAAGACAAATATTGCTTCCCTACATGGGGTGGAGACCTCAGTCTCATCAGCACCTGAGCCGGGGGAACTCCAAACCCAGCCTGTGTATATTTCATAGGACAATTCAGATCCAGCTGTCAGCTGCACAGCCTCCTTGCATGGAACCGCAACTATACAATGTGTTTTAAACAATTTTATCTGACAGACTGCCACAAAAAAGCAGACATCCATCTCCAACTGTGTTTGTTCTTCCGAGGTAATCTGGGAACACGTTTAGTGCTTCTGCGAATACTTTGAATGCCTGTCCCTCCTATTCAAATCACTTACTTAATTAATTGAATTATATTGCAATTGACCAGTGCAATGGATGGATTTGTCAATAACAGAGAAAACAATTTTAATGTAGGCTTCTCTGAAACTGTGAATATTTCACTTTAATTTTATTTAGGCTAGATTATTATTTTATTTAACAAACCAAATCATGTTTTGGTGCTGAAGCATACAGACTTGTCTTGAAGCACTTCACCTTAGATGTTATTTAATATTCTTGAATTATTCATTATAGATAACTGACCAACAAAAAATACATTCAACATTTTTTTTTCAAAGAAAATTATATGAATTATATTTTTGTTTGTGCCCATCCAACTGTGTGGGTGGATGATTTGTTTTGCTCTGTGGAAAATAAGGATTAATGCTTCGCTGAAATTGTTGTATCACAAACCTCTGTCAAATATTTGCTACTTTTTAATGTCATAATTTCAAAGATATCTTTAGAAGCTTAAACAATGCAATCAGATTTTATTTCAGATGACTTTTTAACTGCTCATAATTAAGGATTTACCAAATTTATCTCTGATTACACCAAATAAGTATTTCTTAGCCACAATATTTAATGTGTCAAAACAAGGAAAATATAGCGTTCTAGGTGCACTTTTTAATTTAACAAAACCTTTCTTAAAAACAAAAACAAAAAAAAAAAAAACATTACATTAATAAAGAAGTATTGTCATGTATCTAGAATATGCACAGTTATCTGTCCTGGCTAAAAGTCTCAGATCAGCAGTTAACTACACATAAACGGGGAGTAATCTCCCATTAAAGCAATGTTATTGTAAAAAAATATGATTAAACCCTATTAACAAAAATAACAAATTAAAATGAAAGCAGTGACAGCTGCTGCTTACAAAAGAATGTGTTTTTTTTTTCTTGAGGCTTTTGAATTTTTGCAGTCTCGAAAGCAGCAGGACTGTGGGTGCATGATCATCACTCTTTGTCGAGTCTATTTTAAAGGGAATGATCAGACAAGTTGGTCTTCCTCTAGGCGTAGGATTCGCGCAAGTAAACTGGAGCACACACACTTTTTAACAGACAAGTGATGTGATGCGCGCGAGTGATCATCCTTTCGTGCAGTATTTACCTTCTTTTTTGCTGTTTTGCTCGCGTGAACAGTTATTTTCGTCAGTCGTGCTGCTTCTCGATTCTAAGATCACATTTGCACGAATATTGGGCCATGCTTATTATCGAACCATGCTTTTAAGAAAACTACAATTTAAAAATGATTTCCAACCAGCCAAAGTAGCTAGTGGGGTGTCGAATTCTATGAATTCAGACATACTACTCGGCTCGCATACTGTCTCTGTGTGTTTAAGTGTTTGTGTGTCTGTGTGTCCGCCTGCCATGTTTGCTTGGACACAAACAAATCAATGGATTCTTATGATTTGCAGTTTAACCTACTATAACCTTGAGTGATTGCAGTGAATGTGCTCGCTCTCACAAAACTAAGGACAAAATGTACACATCAAAGGCTCCAGTGATAAAGAAGTTGACAAGTGTATCACCAGATGCTTGCAGCTTGCTCCTGACAGGTATGGAGGAAGAAATCTATGTGGCATAAACCTCCATTTGGTCCCTAAACCCTACTCTTACTCTTTTTTTTTTTAAAGCCATGCATTTACTTTTTTATAAGTATTTATAAACAGAGCTTGACATTAACTTTTTTGATCACCAGCCACTGTGGCTAGTAGATTTCCAACATTACTAGCCACTCGCCATTTTAACTAGCCACACTTTTCTTGTTGGGGAAAATATATTTTGCTTAAATTTGACTCAGACATGCTAAAATAACTTGATTTAGATGTTGTGTTGTGTCCACAACATGCCTCCTCATTCATTAAACTTCTTGTGTGTATTGTGAATCAGCTTGCTCAGTGTGCATGAGCAAATGGGTTGTCGCAATGCAATAGGTTTTTATTTTACGACATTTCAGGGATCAAAATTAGGAATTTACCAAATTTATCTCTGACCACAACAAATAAGTATTTCTTAGCCACATTTTTAAATGTGTAAAAACAAGGAAAAAATTGCTGAATAGGTGCACTTTTTAATTCAACAAAACTTTTTTTTTTTTTTTTTTTAAAAGATTCGATAAAAAAAATATTGTGATGTATCTAAAATATGCACAGTAATCTGTCCTGGCTAAAAGTCCCAGATCACCAGTTACCTACACATAAACGAGGAGTAATCTCCCATTAAAGCAATGTTATTGTAAACAAATATAATGAAACCATATAAACCAGAATAACTGAGCAAAAGAAAGCAGGTGAAACATACCATGTACACTGTTAATGTTAGGCCTGTTAATAGTCTTTTCTAAGATTAATTAAAATGAAAACAATGAACGCTGCTGCTTAAAAAAGAATATGTGTATTTTTTGAACAATCTTGAGCTCTTAAAAGCAGCAGGACTATCTGTGAATGAATGATCATCGCTCTTTGTCCAGTCTATTTCAAAGGGAACCGATCGCACCAGTTGCGCTTCCTCTAGGCACGGTTGCTTTGCGCAAGTAAACGGGAGCGCGCACGCTTTTTAACAGTGGCACACATCACATCAGCTGTTAACACAAGTGATTATCCTCTCATTCGTGCGAACACAGTTATGTTTGTCAGTCAATCTGCTTCTCGATTCTAATATCACATTTGCACGAATATTGCGCCATGCTTATTGTCGAACCCTGCTTTTAAGAAAACTACAATTTAAAAATGATTTCTAACCAGTCAAAGTGGCTAGTGGAGATGTCTGTCTAACCTGCCAGAACTCAAATCTACCCGCATTTGGCGGGTTGGTGGGTGTTAATGTAAAGCCCTGCTTAATAATTCTTTTATTGTTTCAGGAAAATGTGATGCATACATACTGTATAAATAATCAAATACCAACCAAAGAACATCCACCCCATCCCGACAGAGCTATAAAAATTATATACACATGCAAAAAAAAAAAAAAAACTATAGTAATAATATATATATAATAGGTCAAATTTGTAAAAAACATTAAGACAATTACACTTCAACAAATATACATTCAAAGTAAAAAAATATATTAAAATAAGTCATAATAAACACAATGCACATATTGACACGGTCAACAATCTTTAAATAAAGAGAAGCATTTTAACAACGAGACCAGCCGTGTGTAAGTACATTTAGACTTGTTTTCAGTTTCTGTGTACGGTTCTAGCTGTATTTCAGCTGTTTGTGACGATTTTGCGCCCTCCGAGGACACTTAAACTTGTTTTCAGTGTCTGCGTCTAGAAAGTTTACTCACTGTTTCTTTGGTTAATGTAAGAGCTTACGTGTCGATTGCAGACGGTTTCGCGGCCGCAATTCCAGGTGTTTTTACTCTCGAGGCGTGCCAAGCTGAAATTAATCAGCAAATGCTCTAGGGTGCATATAAGCAGCTAGTCTCACAGCGGCAGCCTCGTGTGAAGACCGACGAGTGTAAAGACCATCGACTTTAGTCCTTAGCCATCGACTCTACTTTTGCCATCGACTCTACCTTCGCCATCAACTCTACCTGTGCCATCGACTCTACCTCCCATCGACTGTACATGCGCCATTGACTTCACCTGCGCCATCGACTCTACCTGCGCCATCGACTCTAACTGCGCCATCGACTCTACCTGCCGCGACTCCACCGAGCAAAGACACAGACAGAGCACTTGAGTATGTTATTAATTTATTTTACGTTATCTTTGCACTTATTTTTTGTTTTCATTGCACTTTTATTATGTGTTTACTAATTCCTGTTGTTACTAACACTCGCAAAAGCACGTGAGGTACGCTGCAGGCGTAATCCTCACAACCTTCGTTTAATACAGATATCTGCTATTTCACAACTCTCTCTCTCTGTGGGCCTCTGGAATTGTCAATCAGCTGTTAACAAGGCAGATTTTATTACCTCCATAGCAACATATTCTGACTATAATCTCATGGCTCTAACTGAGACCTGGTTGAGGCCGGAGGACACTGCTACACATGCTACTCTTTCTGCTAATTTCTCTTTTTCCCACACTCCTCGTCAGACAGGGAGAGGGGGTGGGACTGGACTACTAATTACCAAAGAATGGAAATTTACTCTGATACCGTCCCTGCCAACAATCAGCTCCTTTGA